TAAATGCCAGTTTTGAACCATTGTGCAGCAGGGGGTTTATTGTTTTCTTTCAGTGGAACTGGAAACTCAGCGCGCAACACGATCCTGCTTTATAGATTGTACAAAGAATACCGATTAAAGAGGAACCTTTAAGTGGGGGCGAAAAAACCTGGCGAAGGTTTCCATTATATTTTGTAAGGTATATTTTTATTTTTCATATTCTGTGTTTAAAAATTTACCTATGAAAAATGCAGAGCTGATTTAAAGGACAGTTTAAGAAATAAAGGCAAAACGCGTCCTTTGCCTTGAAAAAAATTATAAAGGACATTGGGTTAATATAAAGGAATGTCCTTTAAAATAAAGGATGGACGGTCACCGTACGTATACTCCACTTTACTTCCAGAATATTCGTTTTCTTTCTGTTCTTTTCCCTTTGATCTCGTTTTCACCGGTCTGATGTCCACGCTCATTTACAATAATGTACTGCTTTGCCACTTGCTACTTTTGTTGTTTTATTGGCCGTTTTCGGTTGAGCCCCCAACTGTTAAATATGATATTTTATTGAAGCGAACGGGTAGTATAAAACGAATTACTTAAATATAAGAAGGAAAATTAAAATGCACAAATAAAGTTTGTGGTCTTCAGCGGTTACTTCTACTATTACAACTGCTGCTGATATCCAGTGATCGGTAGAATTTGGAAAAAAATGTAGTAGATCTCTGGGTTTGGATCAAACTTTGTACACAAATTAAAAAATATCAGCAAGGTTTCACCTAAATTGCAAACTTTTTAATTAGACTCTAAAATAATTTGATTTTAGTATAATAAAGTGCAATATTGAGGTTGCTAAAAAATGCGCTGAATTTTGGCAATTTTTTTCCTTGACAGCAGTTCCTTCCATATCAGGATATTTTTCGAACATATTTTAAGAAATTTCTGCAACCTTGTGGAGTGCTGCCAGCCTTTCTTTTTATCACCTCACGAAGTAGCGAGCAAATGTGGCACGTTCCAGAAACAGCTAACTGGGATTTGCCGATTTTGACAATTCTCAACTAAAAGTAAACAACGCCTCAGAAACTTTAGATGCACTTAAATTTGCTAATACTTTCACAAAAACGCCGTTTTTTAACATTTTGGCTATTAATTCTTTTTATCAATCATATATTTTGCCATTTAACACAATAAAATCACGTTTTCTATCGAAAAATTGTCACCTTACCTTTTGTTTACAAAAGCTGACCTACCTAATGTCCCAAATAAATGCACTTACCGTGCGCAACAACAATACGCCGGGCCAAACTAAGTAAACAAATATACAAACAAAAGGGAGATGACAAAAAAATCAAGCAACCGGCTGGCTCAGTGGAGACGGCGGGGTTGCTGGCAGGGGGAACAACAAGACAGTATACAGACTATTCAAACTAAATAAAATGCACTAGTTATCACTCACAATAAATATGAAGCTACCAACACTAGGGTGGGTCGAAAACAAGACAACAAGATTTACAACCAAAGAAATCGAAATAAAACCAAACCTTGTTTTTGCGGCGCACCCGAGGTGAGGTCCAACCAAAAGGTTACGAACCCACTCGCACTACCGCCCCTGCTGCCGGGGATATCTTTAACCCGCCTGTATGACTGGGCTCAGGGTGCAGGATGCTAAACAGGATCGGAAAGGGAAACACAATAAGAGGAAGCCTGCCGACAACAATAACGCCTGAACACAGACACACCAAAATAAAACGATACTTATCGGCGGTCGGTGGGCGTTCCGACCGCAGGGGTGCTCCTCGGGAATATGGCTCCCAAATCCGGTGCCGACTTCACCACGCCTCGACTGGCGCTGCTCCTCGAAACTAATCGCTACTGCTACTGCAAGCTAAGTGCCTCACCTGGCACTTACTGAATTTTAAAACACTTCGCACTACACTATATATAAAAGCACTCGCGCTCGCAATAAGGATGTTGCCTTTCTCAAAGCTCGCTTAGAACGGCCCCGGTACGCAGTCGCGAGCCAGGCCGCAACCTACGCACCGGTACGTAAACCGTTGGAGTGTCAGCGCCGGTGTTGTTGGTGCCCGATCAATTGGCGCCGGCCCGATCATTCTAGAAGCGAATTGGGCGCTTAGCGGTTGCCACCACGGCGCACACAAACAACACCATGGACTTGCCATTGCCATCATATGGCGGACAACAAAAGTGCCGCAATAGGTGCGAGCAAAGGCGACACCCCTACTACGGTCTTTCGCGTCATCTCTCATTCCTACATTCATACCCTCGATCGGCACCGTTTTGGAGCGGAGTGCCCTAATGGAGACTTTTCCCCTTTGCGGTGGCGCTCCACCGACAAACAACTATTTCGCTCAACTTGAGCTCATTCTGCTATTTATTTAGGTATGTACATACATATGTACACTTGAGTATCGGCAGACTTCACTCCTATCGGTTGGAGTG